GATTTGAGACGATAGAAGAGCTTCAGGCAGAATCGCAGATGGTGCTTGACAGGCTGACAAAGAAAGATTTCCAGGGATGCTTCCAGGCTTGGCAGCGGCGCTGGGATCGTTGTGTTCACTCCCAGGGGAATTACTTCGAGGGTGATGGATGAATTTAATACCTGAGATAAGTGTACGGGTTTTTATAGGCGCAGTCTAGAAACTTTCCCATCGCACCTCGTACAAGACTGCACGGCGTTACAACCCTGAAGACCATAATCGGCATTTTCACCTCCGTCAGACTCACAAATCACAGTGTGAATGTTAGTATATTAGGTTGTTAAAACATTGCAGAGCCGTGCCTAGCTCAGGAAAAGTAAGCTGTAGCTCGCCATGGAAATCCCGGGTAAATTCCAGATCAACCCATAATGGGTTTTGTAGTACGAAAAGTGACAGGAGTCTGGGATATGGTTTTTCTGCTTTTCTCGCCATTTATTCCACCGATGCTCCATACTTATCGCAGTGTGCGATAGACCTGTCCAGTCATTACGTTGTCCTGGTAACTTGACTGGACTCACTGTATACGTAAATTTAACAATTCCGTGTCCGCTGCGAGATTGTTTTAGTCGCGTTTGCAGCTCTGTGGGGAGCCTATTAAAATCGCTTTTGATTAAATTTGATGTTGGAGAATTTGTGAGAAGTCGTAGAGCTGGTTCAATTTTTATTTAAATCGAACATGGTCAACGATCACTTTACGCAGAAACGTAATTGTAGTTTTGATCTTGTCTCAGTACGACTGCAGACGACTTGTACGCTAGTTGTCATGGTTAGCTTGGTTACCGGTTACCGTGGTTACCAGACTGCACGCCCACGCAAAGGTCGTTGATCTAATGAAACACGTCACTGGCGTAATTTGCGAAGGTCGAGGAACAAATTGTTTACAACGCTTGTTACGCCATGTGTGCAGTTGCCATCTTTGTGTGTGTGTGACTGGCTGCCGCCTTTGCTAGCATGGAGTAGAACCACGAAACAGTAGTCCAGGTAACACGTTTCAGACAAACTCGGTATCGTCTGAATACATTTCTAGAGCGTTGCTGTCATCTGTGGACTGGTGCCTGTTGGGGCTACAACGAATATGTATACGGCTTGCCATTGGCCGGGTCTTGGACAGGGTCACAATGTACTGAGCTTCTTAGGCTTCTGTGGGTCGTTTTCTCCTATTCCATCCCTCCATCCTGTGCGTCATGGGAATACCATTGTCTGTCGATAGTTTTCATTATCATTATTGTATTATCTCGTATGCCCATAGCTCAAGGTCTTGAATTGAAATGGTTGATATGCGATTGCGTGATTGAAATAAAATAATTTCCACCTTCCATTGCCCCAAACATTCATATATTCATCTTAATTTATATGACAACTTATAAGGTAGTATATTTGCGTCATATTGTGAATTAGGTTAATATTTTAATATTTTCCGTCAAATCACAATTTTTAAAGATAATAAAATATAAAATATTTAAAATATCATTTCACGTTCCGCATCGAATTTGTAAATCGATCATTCGAAGCGGAACGTGAAATGATATTTTAAATATTTTATATTTTATTATCTTTAAAAATTGTGATTTGACGGAAAATATTAAAATAAAATATGACAACTTATATTTGTTCCAAGGACTAGGTGATGTGTGCTCGTCGCCTATACGGTATATTATTAGGTGATAAGACCATCACCACCGAGCTCACAAAAGCCTGCAATTTTGCCCATGATCCAGTGTAATGTTATTCTTCTAAGTCTCCCAGGTTTTCTTCTGTTGGGGATATCCGACTGAGA